ATATATATATAAAATAGCCTAGAATCTGTTTTAAGAGCTGGCAATCTCAGCCACGCTCAGGGTTTGGGGGCTGAGAAACCCGAGGCCGGCTCTGACGAAGAACGCGCCTGGGCGCCGACCCACCTGGGCCCCACCACAGGAAGCGGAGCTGGAGCGGGAGCTGGTTCAGCCAAGGCGGGGGCAAGGCACCGCGATAGCCACCACCTCCGTTTCACAGGCAACTTCCTTCGGGAAGTTGCAGTAACCCGCTGATTTTGTGCTTTTTGGACTCGGGAGCAGAAGGTTGACGCTGGGCCCGGGGAGCACGCTGGTGGCATTTTCAGCCTGCCCGGACCCAGTAAACGCTGCACATCTCCCAGCTCCTTTAGTCCATCGAACATTACGGCCCAGAAGCGAGGTGTTGACAATGTAAATAAATCTTTCAAGTAGGGGAAAGCGTGGTTTCTGAATAGTGGCGTTCACAGCCTGGAGGAAGTGCCTCCTCAGACATCTAGGTAGAAGGAGCCACAACCAAGACCTGCTTTTTCCCTATCGATATACAGCGCTGCTGAGAGCGCACAGCGTTTCGGTGCAAGCTGCGCTCTTGTTCTGTCTTGACTAAGGCAGCATGTTAAATGAAAGCGTGAGATTTATTTACCCACTCAGCATCAATTTGCTTTTGCCTTCTGCCACACGTTTTCACCGTCCCGTTGATTGCGATGGCCGCGTCGCTCCTGTCAGGCCTTTGCCAACAGCGTCGTGCGTGTAAACCTGCAGAGAAAACCGCCTCTGGGCGGCAGCCTCTGGGCTTCAAGGGTGGTCTCTGCTGGGCGCGGAAACGTGTTGCGTCTTGGTTTTTCCCCTTTCCTGACTGTCCTGTTGCCTCCCTCTGCCAGCAGCTTTCTGTGGCCCCCCGGAGCCGGCAAGAGAAAGCTGTTTTCTCGCAGGTCCGCTCTGGTTGCTCAGGTCCCTGCCTTTGGAGGGAGCGTAACGGTCACAAACTCTGCTTGTCTTTCAGAATTAAATTAAAAACCTTCTCAAAGGTGTGTGTGAATCCCGAGGCCCTTTGGGTAAAGAAGCTACTGAAACGTATTGCTAGCACGTAAGTGTTTTTAACCAAGTCCTTTGGCTCGGGTGGAAGGTCCCTGGGCAGCATCTCACCATGTCCACCGGCCTGGGACAAGGGCTCTCCTGGGGCTGGGACCTTCTCTGGGGCCACCTCCGCTGGGGGACCGGCCTCGAGGCAGAGGGATTTGAGCCTCCGCCGCCCGCGGGTCAGGCTCTCCCCTGCTCCTGCCCGGTGCTGCACCTATGAAAATACAGCAGAAAAAACCACACCGGGGGCAGGAGCAGGGTTTGGCTGTAGCGAGTGCTCACCAGGGAAAACTTCCCCCCCTTTGGCACGCGGAGGCGTTTCCCAGGTTTCTGGGGATGCCGGCTCTGTTGTAGCGGAGGGGTGGCCGGGAGACGTCCCAACGGGGGACACCTGTCCCAAGGAAAGCGCGGCGACTTCCCCCGGTCCGCTCAGGAGCTTCCTCCCCCAGGGCCCACGTTTGCGCCTTCACGCGTTTCCCCTCCTTCTGCTTTTCGCAGGAAGAAAAAATGAGTTTCCT